CGACAATGTGACTCGCAGGCGTTTCCTGGTGGACACCGGAGCCCAGATCAGCGTGGTTCCCCCCACTCCAGTTGACCGCCGCTGTCCCAGCCCTGGTCTACATCTCCAAGCTGCAAACTGTTCCCCCATTTCCACTTTTGGTGCCGTTCCCTAACGCTAAACATTGGTTTACGTCGATCATTCTCCTGGATATTTGTGACTGCCGATGTGCCTCATGCGATCCTTATTTCCGATTTCCTAGCCGAGTTTGATCTCCTTGTTGACTGTCGGCGTTCCTGTCTCCTCGACCGCACAACTGGTCTTTCTGTCCGCGGTCTTACACTCTTTAATGACTCCTGCAATTTATCTGTTCTGGGCGCAGGTATTGCTTGCCCATACCGATACCTGCTCTTCCAACGCCCCAACATAATCAAACCCTAGTTTCGCAGTAGTGAGATCCAGCATGACGTTGTCCACCACATTCGCACCTCTGGCCCCCCCAGTATTCGCACGGCCTAGACGACTGGCTCCGTCCCGTCTGGAAGCGGCGAAGGCCGAATTTGAGCACATGCCACAACTGGGCATAATTCGGCCGTCCGAGAGTCCATGGGCGTCCCTTCTGCATATGGTGCCCAAGGCGACATCAGACGACTGGCGGCCCTGTGGTGACTATCGCGCCCTCAAAAATGCGACCATCCCGGATCCTTATCCCGTCTCTCATCTTCAAGATTTTGCTGGAGCTCTTTTCGGCAAATCGGTTTTCTCGAAGATTGACCTTGTTCGGGCCTTCCATCAGATTCCTGTCGCTCCTGAGGATGTTCCCAAAATTGCCGTCACCACACCATTCGGCCTGTTCGAATTTATTCGCATGCCATTTGGTCTTCGCACTGCTGCCCAAACATTTCAGAGGTTCATTGACCGAGTCCTACGTGGTCTCCCGTTTGTGTACGCCTACATAGATGACCTCTTGGTAGCCAGTCGAAATGCTGAGGAACACAAAGAGCATCTTGCCTTAGTGTTTGACCGCCTCGATCAGTTTGGCGTGGTCATTAACCCTTCGAAGTGTGTTCTGGGTGTGCCGTCCCTTGATTTTCTTGGTCTCCACGTCGATGCACAAGGTTTGCGTCCCCTCTCTTCCAAGGTTGAGGCCATTCGTGACTTTCCTCCACCAACCTCCAAGCGTCAGTTGCAGCGTTTCCTTGGCATGGTAAACTTTTATCGCCGGTTTCTACCGAACTGTGCCGACCTTATGCTGCCACTTACCACTTTGCTCTCTGGTCCCAAGGGTCCCCTTGAGTTACGTGGCAACGCGCTGACTGCTTTTGAGAGAATAAAGACCTCCCTTGCTGATGCTTCCTTGCTCACTCATCTTGCTCCAGAAGCCCCATTGTCCCTGATGGTTGATGCTTCGACCGTTGCCGTAGGAGCAGTCCTCCAACAGCATATCAAAGACTCGACACGACCGTGGGCATTTTTCTCCAAGAAGCTTTCACCTGCCGCGACCAGATATAGCACGTTTGGCCGTGAACTTCTTGCCATTTACCTAGCCGTAAAACATTTCCCACACTTCCTTGAGGGTCGCGACTTCACAATTTTCACAGACCACAAACCACTTACATTTGCCATCCGATCCCATTCTGACAAATATAACCCGAGAGAGATTTCTCATTTGGATTACATCTCGCAATTCACCACCGACATCCGCCACATTGATGGCCCGAAGAATGCGGTGGCCGACATGCCGTCTAGACCTTCCCTCTCGGCGTTTCACCTCTCACACGGGATTGATCTTGGTGCTATGGCGGCTGAACAACTACGTGCTGGATGCCTTGGCGACGAGTCTGTTGACAGTCTTCAATTAGTTGACGTCCCATTGACCACCGGCACTGGCACAATCCTTTGTGACGTATCGACTCCTTTTCATCGCCCTTATGTGCCTGCCTCGATGCGTCGAGCTGTTTTTCAAACTCTCCACGGACTCTACTATCCTGGGATTCGTATGGCCTGGGTTGAACAAGGATGTGAGAGCTTGGACACGATCGTGCCTTTGCTGTCAACGTAACAAGGTTTAACGCCACAACAAGTCTCCATCGGGCACGTTCCCCAGCCCCGATGCACGGTTCAATCATGTGCATTTAGATGTCGTAGGTCCTTTACCTCCATCCAATGGCTATACTCACCTTCTCACCTGCGTTGATAGCTATACCCGTTGACCGGAAGCCATTTCTTTACCGAATGTGCAAACTGAGACCATTGTGAAAGCCTTCGTCAGTCGTTGGGTCGCCATATTCGTTGCGCCATCCATGATTACGACTGATTGAGGCGCGCAGTTTGAGTCCACACTTTTCCAAACTCTCCTCAAATTCCTTGGCTGCACACGTAGTCGGACGACGGCCTACCACCCAGCTGCCAACGGCATGGTTGAGCGTTTCCACCGCCAGCTAAAAACTGCACTGCGTGCCGCAGAAGATCCCAAAAACTGGTCAGACAATGTACCCGTTGCACTTCTTGGCATTCGTGCGGCACTGAAGTCAGACTTGAACTGCAGCGCAGCTGAATTGGTTTTCGGCACTACCCTCCGACTCCCTGGTGAGATGGTCACCCCGACCTCTCGTGGTGTCGAAAAGACCCCCGAAAATTTTGTGCATCGTCTGCGACAATTCATGCGCTCGCTTTCCCCGGTTCCACCTTGAGCTCCATCGACCGAGCCTTATGTTGAAAAAGGCTTAGCCAACTGCACCCATGTGTTCGTTCGGTGGGATCGTGTGCGGAAGCCGTTAGAATCACCATACGAAGGACCGTTCTGTGTGCTTGCACGTAAAAGCAAGACCTTTCAGATCCTGCGAGGTGACAAAGAGGGCGTAGTCAGCATCGACCGGGTCAAGGCTGCTGTTGCAGAGGAGCCCCCGGACGTGTCTCAAGGATAAGCATGTGCTGACCCCATACCTCCTCCCACTCCTTTTCCACTTTCCCCACCTATCCCTCTGTCCCGTATACTTCCTCTTCCTTCTTGTTCGCAGCATCAAACTGCAACCTCTTCCTCCACCCTTAACTTGTCCACTACAACACCTACTCAGCTGCCTCCAACAGTGCCTCCCGCATATATCACCCGCAGTGGACGTCACGTTCACTTTCCCGATCGTCTATTTACTCATTTTTCCTAGATTTTGTATGTGCTCCGGCGTCGTTCACGCCGCCCTCCGGTCTCGGAGGGGGGGTATTGTGCTGCAGTACTTGACTACTTGGCCTTTGACAATCTTGTCACGTTTGTTTTACTGTAGCATTTGTTTTAACGTGACGAACACTCTGCCGCTTGTAAGCTTCGCGCCGCTTGCATGCTCTCTGGTCAGGTCGTTGCACATTTTGAATATTAACTTTATTCACTTACTGGCCTTCCTTACCTCCATCCGTTTATGAGGTTAGTATGCTGTAGTTCGTTAGTTCGCGGGAACGACATAACTTACGTCAGTAGAATGCCACTTAGTTGGTTAACCCGGGAGATTGGAGTTCGGGTTCCACCAACTAGCAGAATGTTACACTTGGTCACATTGATCAACAGACGCCATGCCTGCGACCATTTATTCAGCTGGTTCAGATTTCCCTGCACTCTTCGTCAACAGCAATTGGGATGACGCTCCAAAGCCTGACATCATCAGCAAATATGGAAAATCCCGATCTAGTTCACTGACGCAGTCGTTGACGTATATAATGAACAAGGTAGGACTAAGAAGGAAGCCTTA